TTAATTTTATTTTTAAAGATGTTGGTAGACTCTTTTTTTTTTATTAGGGTTAATTAGTAAAAATATGATTTTTAGGTTAGTTTAATAAAACCTATTTTTTTAAGAAAATGCATTTTTTTCAAAAGTATAAGTCCTTTATTTTTAAAAAATTGTTCATGCGAGCTGGACCGCATATCTACATATGCAATCCAGAAAGTGTAAAGCATCCATCTTAAAGATGGATGCAAGTACGTGTTCCATCTAAAAACAATGGAAATTAACGGTCCAAATGTATTCTTACAAGAGTTATTATTTTTAGTTTTAAAATTTATTTGGTTTTTTATATTCATGATCTCCATGTTAGAGATTACATGTCTTAAAAAATTAAGTCTTAAAATCAATTTACAAAATAGATTTATTAAGACGCCCGCATTTCTATATATGAAGGCTGGCCGCATAGAAACCGGGTACTTACGTTTTTTTTAGGTCTGTTTTTTCTTTCTTTTACATGAGTTGTTTTTTCTTTCTTTTACATGAGTTGTTTTTTAGGAAACTTTGTTTCTTTCTCTTTTGTGAGGTTGACTTTTCCTTTTTTTAGTAAGTTTAAATTAGAAAAAATATTAAGAGTCCATTTTTGTTCAGTTTTTTAGGATGATGAAGCACGTCCTTTCCTTTCCTTTCTTTTTTAGTAAGTATTAGATTAAGTTGCTGGTTTTTCTTTTTGAACAAGTTCTTTCTTTATATTTTTTTGAAAAATAAATCCACTAAAAAAAAACATAAATTTAAAAAAAGAAATCCACTTAAAAACCCTTTTTAAATAAGTTATTTGCTAATTTTTTTTGAAAGGCCAATGGGGATTTGGGCCCTATCCTTTGGTGAGGATGGAGTAAGAGACTTTAGCGCAAACCTCGTTGGTATTGCTGCCAACCTAGCCCATTCTCAAAATAGATTTATGTTGTGTATGAGAGAGATGAGAGAGGCATGTTTATAGAGAGGTATGCATGTTCTGTATGTGAGAAAGAGAGAGGGTGATCAAAATTTGTCAATCTTAATACAATAGGATGATACAAACCATATTCCATGGAAGTGTTAAGTAAATAAGTTATTTGCTAATTTTTTTTTAAAGGCCAATGGGGATTTGGGCCCTACCCTTAGAGTAATAGACTTTATCGCAAAGCTCGTTGGTACTACTGCCAACCTAGCCCAATCTCAAAATAGATTTATGTTGCGTATGAGAGAGATGAGAGAGGCACGTTTATAGAGAGGTATGCATGTTCTGTATGTGTGAAAGAGAGAGAGGGTGATCAAAATTTGTCAATCTTAATACAATAGGATGATACAAACCATATTTCATTGCAAATTTAATTAATTTATCAGGTACATAATTTGTGGAACAAAGCCACTTATTCTAACAAACACTAGAGATAGGCCTTATTAGTAGAAATACGGAAGACCTTAGTAGTAGAAACGCTGAAAGGAAAGCAAGAGCGAGCAAGCAAGGGCACAAAGCATTGCAAACATCTCACAATGAGAGTGGCTTATTTGGACTTTCTAAAGTCTGCAACCTGAATCACAGGCTTG